CCCCATGCACACACTTGTCTTCTCATCACTACTTTCTCATCGAGATGTTTGTCCCTCGCTGCGTCCCGTCGGCCACATTCATGTCGTAAGCGCGCTGCACCGGCGTAGATCGCGGGCACTCTCCCGCTCCGTCTGCTGCAGCCATTGCTCCAGCGTGGCCGGATTTGCGTGCTCTCCTCGTCTGTTCAGTAGGTGGGGTTGCCATGGAGACGTGACATTCGCAACGGCTGCTGATGGGAGTGATCGGCCTGCATTACACACACACACACACACACACACACACACACACACACACACACACACACACACACTCATCAGGGACTAAAAATAGAGGGCTGGCCTGAGCAGCCTCCCTCTCTCTGAATATTGATCCTGATCTCATGACGCCTCGGAGGAGAAAAGAAAGAGAGCAGAATATCTGGGAGAGGCTGAGCTTTCATTTTGGGGAAGAGTGAGCGCGATGCTGATGTATCACTTCTCCCTCATTAGCTCGATTCCTCCCCAAAGCTCCGGCTTTTGAAAAGGGCAAAATCTCTCCTCTGGTTCGTCTTTTGTGAATGTGAAAAGAGAGCCAGGTGTTGGTTCTCCTCCTGGAGGTCACTGATTAAACTGGACCATTAACCTAATATGTTCATTAGGTGAGGAGACGCGGGGTAAGATTGATGTCTCACACCTGGAGCGTCGTCTGTCTTTGTTATCACTCCTGAAGGAAGATGCAGAGTTTAGTGACCAGAGTCACCTCGGCAGCTTTTGCCCCCAGAATGTTTTGTTTTTTTAAATACTTATTTTTAGGGCCTTTTATGCCGTCATTACTCAGCCGACAGTAGAGAGATTATACACATTACGGCCCCCTGATCGACGCCTAAAACGAGGCCCCCTGTAGCTCAGTTCAGTTGGTCTAAAGGAATAAAACGATGAGTAGGACATAAACCCAACACACGTCTCACCGGCACCGGAAGCAGCACAGCGCTGCTATCAGTGTAAAGACTTGCTTAAAGGTTCTGTGTGTTGTACCCGGACACCTGCTCAAAAGAAATACGGGTCAGCGTTTCACCTCTACTACTGGGTCCATACAATCTAAATTTACTGTCATCAATTATTAAAAATATTATTATTAACCCACATACGCAAAACTCCACAAAGCTGGTGAAACGGCGCCGGCCTATAGTTGACGTTAGCCTTCTGTGTGCGACACTGACCGGCGCCGTATGGTCCGTGTACGCTTTGATCGTTTCTTTATTTGATTAAATCCAAAGTAGCAGAAGAGAGAGAACCAACTGTTCGTCTCCGTTCTCTGGACTGAGACTGGACGCTTCAGTAGCATTTTGGTCATCAAGTTGAGCTAGAAGACGGGAAAAATGTAAATTTGGATTCGATTTTGTGTGTTGTGAAATATCATCAAAGAGGAGCTGAATACTGAGGGATAAACATTTCAGCTCTTCATGTGTAATTGATTTGTGGAAAGAAATGAAAACATAATCAGATGCTGGCTGCTTTGTGTCTCAGAGGTCTAATCTCCACCAGCCGTAGAGTTTTATTCTTTTGCTCACACTACACCGGTGAGGTGCCAGACGCTGCCATCACCAGGATGTGTCTAATTACATCTGCCGAGGTGCGAAAGCGCTCGGCGAAGCTTTAATTATACATATCTCGCCCACTCGCTCTGTCTGCCGCACTCGTGCCCGCTTGTGTGACAGCCGAAATCCTTAAACATGTCGAGAGGAAGAGACGGGAGAGCAGAGCGAGTGGGACTGAGCACTGGGAGTAAAAAGTGGGAGGTCTTTGTCATTGTCATTAGCAAGGGATTGTTGAGTTGATGGGCTGCTTATCTCCCTGTTGTCCTTCATCCGTGTGTGTGTGTGTGCGCGTGTGTGTGATGTGAAGTAATGAGGTTCAGGCTGGAGGAGCAGAGGGTTAATGAAGTGCAGTATTAGGAGCAGTTTGGTAAATTGCTGGCAGGTCGACTCATTGATAAAACAAGAGGATCAGCGTGTCACGAAATTGAAATCATCCTTAAAGGGAAATTAAAGGGGTTTATTCAACATGGGTTTTATTCTCGTAGCTTTGGTCACCGTTTCTATCAGTAATGATGACTATCGGGTTAACATCAACCAAACGTATTTGGAGGAGAAAACAAAAATTACGACTTCATAAAATAGTGGTTTAGATAAAATAAAAAAGAATTGTGGATACAATCGTAACAGTTGGAATAAAAACCCCAAAACCTGAATCTTCCTTTGTGTTGCTGTAGGATTTAGATGCACACATGAATTCATTGAGCCATGCTTGTTGCTCCTCTAGTGTGAACTTCAAAGAGCCGCAGGCGGTGCGAGCGCTGACCTGCACCCTGCTGAAGGAGGACTTTGGTCTGACCATCGAGATCCCTCTGGAGCGCCTCATCCCCACCGTCCCCCTCCGCCTCAACTACATCCACTGGGTGGAGGACCTCATCGACGGCCAGAAGCAGCCGCGCAGGGGCATCGACATCGGTACCACCACCGCTCTTTGTCTCATGTACTCCCCATCTTTTACTGTGTGCGATTGTTTACCTTTGATCATCATCCTGGTGAGGATGCTCCCAAAACATCAAGCTGACTTTTCATGTAACTGAGAGCAAAAAATATACGAATTAACCCTGTTTGTTCACGCGCGTGTCCCCCAGTTAGTTTACATTTGGGACCCCTGCTCTTGTTGGTTCTGGATGTGGCTTCCAGTAGCTCAGTGTGGCACACAAAATGTCAGTTGGTGCCTCCAGCTGGTACACATGAGCCCAGGCGTTCCCAGTGTTCCCAGCACTCAGCAGCCAAATCCTCACCCACATGTCACAGCGTGTTTGCCGTTCTGTCAGTCAGAGAAAAAGCTGTGTGTGTGTGTGTGTGTGTGTGTGTGTGTGTGTGTGTGTGTGTGTCCTCTTTAGGACCTCAGGTCACTGATTGATGACCCTGCATCTTTCTGTAAGCAGATTGAATCTGTCCGCTCCCTGATGGATCACCACTGCGCGTGTCCTTTACTAACCGGTGCCACTTATCTGAGCCTGGACTGACTTGTGCGGCTGTGTCCAATGTTGTCATGTGTGGAGGCTTTAATAACAGCTGCTGGAACTGACATTTATTGTCCGTTATAATCTCTTTACCATGTACTTTAAACAACACATTTCCATATTGGCCAATGAAACACATAACCATTCATCTTCCTAATGAACACACATCCTCAAACTGCCAAATGTGTGTGTGTGTGTGTTTTCTCAGGCACTGGTGCATCTTGTATCTACCCCTTACTGGGAGCCACAATGAACGGCTGGTACTTTCTGGCCACAGAGGTGGACGACATCTGTTTTGACTACGCGACGAAAAACGTTGAGCAGAACAACATGTCTGACCTCATTAAAGGTAAATGTCTGTCCACTCACGAACGCTGAATCTCAAGCCTTTAAACCGCACGCAGCCTTTCAGTGAAGTGTTTGTACATTCGCTCACCTAGTGTGTCTTTAAGGAAGACTACATTACTGTGGCTACAAATAACAAGTTATGGGATGATGGTAAATGCAAAGCTTTCAATATCAGTGTCTCATAGTGCCATCGAAGGCCACAGATTTGGACTGTTTTTTATTCATTCATTCCCAAGAGCTGTCATGATAAACCACTGAACTTATAAATCACTGCCTCATCTCTGCGTGCTTCCACTTTCCTAGTTGTCAAAGTCCCTCAGAAGACTCTCCTGATGGACGCCTTGAAAGAAGAGACAGAAATAGTGTACGACTTCTGCATGTGCAACCCTCCTTTTTTTGCCAATCAGCTTGAAGCAAAGGTGAGTGTTTCCCTTCTTAAACGTTAACGTTGTACTGGTGTCTTGTCCTGAATGTTTACATTAGAAATGGATAGACTTCTTTTGACGTGTTTGGCTCATTGAGAGTCAACACTGCACTTGTTCGTTGTGTTTTTTACACGATAGTAACAGGCTTCTAATAGGATTTCATCTTAATCTCTGTCTGTCTTGTTGCTCTCTCCAGGGGGTGAACTCCAGGAACTCACGGCGACCTCCGCCCAGCTCGGTGAACACAGGCGGGGTGACGGAGATCATGGCGGAGGGTGGGGAACTTGAGTTTGTAAAGAGGATCATTCACGACAGCCTGCAGCTCAAGAAACGCTTGCGGTGAGATAAAGAGCCGGACTCTGACCTTCAAAATCCAACCTCAAACTCAAACGCAATCACGATTTCCTCCCGTATAGGTGTTGGTGTATTTAATATCGTATGTAAGATCACATTTAAACCACAGCTAGATATTACACAGCTACAGATCTGAAGTGGCAGATGGATGAACAAGAGCACTGCACTTTGGTTCTCTTTGGAGAGGTTTTAATGGCTGCTGAGAGCACCAGTGAAGGGGAGACACCAAGAGGTGAAACGTGCAGATGGGTCGCTGCACATTAATGGAGCCGTCACCCACTCTTGGTTTAATGATTCTGGCACAAGCTCACCCATGTACTGTATCCGGGAGACCACAGGGAACAGCTGTGTTTGGGTGGGTGGGTGGGTGGGTGGGAGTGTCTCCAGCGGCCGTCGCATTACCCTCCCCCGTTCCCAGGGCTGTCACCGGGGCAGCAGAGTGAGACACGGGTAGAGGGAGCTGCAGAGTGGCGCTATTAAAGCTGATTAGACATGCCACACCTGCTTGGCCTCCTACGGGGAAGTACTGTGTGTGTGTGTGTGTGTGTGTGTGTGTGTGTGTGTGTTTAAATAATGCGTCGCTGGAAAGATGAGCACTCCTGAGAGGGCCCCATCTGAACACCTGCCTGCTCCTGTGCGGCTCTGTGTTGCACTCGTGTAGCCAGTATTTGTTTTTAACAGGTTTGATGCTCAGGCCAAACCAACCGGAGCCGGCTGTCACTCCCAAATGCATGCTGGGACACCCGAGCCACCAGGTGCCCATGGAAACCCTGTCCGCTTCACCGATTGGTCCTTTGAGACATCCTCACCACTCACACCCTGCTCCTCTTCCCCTCTTCCCCTCTTCTTTCCACCAAAGTGTAATTAGTGTCAGATCAGGGCATGCCACCTTATTTCCCAGTATAACACGCATCCAAAACCCCAGTAAAGAAACGAGGTGATACTCTTCATTTATCGTGCCACTGATATGAAAATTGCCATCTCTGCTCATAAGAGTGTAATCACACATGCTTCAACGGAGAACAGAGAATGTGGAAGCCAACGCAGCTGCACACTCTAGGATGTTTGACAAGCTGCCGGTGGAGGAGGGAAGCCCCCCCACCCACCCCCCCACTGTGTCGAAAAGTGGGAACATCTGTGAATATTAGAGCTGTTCAATATTTCATTTTGTCAACCAAGGCTGACATGTTGCTCTTCCCTCCCCCTCCCCCCCTCCGGGCATCTTCAAACCTCCCGAACCTGATTACAGATCATCGTCCTCTCCGTCAATCACAAGTAAAAACTGTTCTTAAGATGTGATTCCATCTGCAGTCGTTGGGCGTGACTGTAACTTTGTACCTTTATGTACATTACTATTTACTAGGGCTTAGGTTTGATCACAAGTCAGAGGTCCTTCAACTCAAAAGGAAGAAAAGAAATGCAATATCCTGCGCTGCTATACATTACATGATATATACATTCATATAAATCTAAACTGGTGTAAATAGATGTTATTAATGTGCTAACCATTCTTAAAATCACATTTAAGTCCCTTGATTTATGTTCCATTTAACCATAGAGAACACAATCATTTATCTTTGATTAATTGTTTTGTCATAAAATATCAGAATGTACCTGAGCCCAAGGTGACGTCTTCAAATATATTCAATAATTAACAATGTGGGACTTAGAACCTCGTCTTATTCTCACATTTCAGTGGCTTTTTGCTTGGAATTATTTTCAATTACTAAGAAAACATTATCATTAATTTTCTTTGATTGACTTAAAAAAACGAACATAGATTTAATAAAACTTTACCCAGAAATCATGCAGCAGAGGCAGAAGTACTTTTTCAGCAAATAAATAGCCAGAAAAGGACTTTTTAATTCTCAGAAACGCTTATTTCTGGGGCCGCACCTTTTGGAAGCGACTCAGATTAGTCAACATTTCCATTAAGTGGCAGTTGGAATTGACAGGACCTATGAAAGTGAACAAAACAAATATTTTTGTTGCCAGTGGAACTAGAGTTTGTAGGACACATGCATGCTTGACCTATCTATTCATCACGTTTTATCTTTTACTTCCTAAACTGTGCAGATTAAATGAAGATAATTAGCTTTAAACGATGTTGAGTTAAAACTAAACAAACCTTGACAAGGTTTACTTCCTTCTAGTCTGACTCCCTGGTGTGTTTATCTTTCCTCCATCTTCCCCGGCTGGACTCTACTCCTCATTGATCAAGACCAACTTTGCGTCTGTATAGCACAGGAGAGATTATTGATCAGTGCACTCTGCACTGTACACACACACACGCACACACACAGATGTTTCTTCTGTCATGTTGTACTTTGTGTGTTTGTGCTGCTCCCCAAAGTTCACCTCGGCTCGTTTGATCTCTGCTCAATAGTTCATGCCCGCTAACGCAGCGGCACACAGCTGGTTGATATGGATTCTTCTGTCTGCAGGTGGTACAGCTGCATGTTGGGGAAGAAATGTAGCTTGGCACCTTTGAAAGAGGAGCTGAGGAAGCAAGGGGTGAGTACCAACCGAGGCAAACGCACAAATACATCTGCATCCTCTGCAATCAATGTCAAAGCGTCCGCAGCTTTTGATCTCGGCTCGCTCATGCAAGGAGGTGCCCCTTCTGCTCAGGCTTTGATAATAGCTTGTTAAAACAATCTTCGCCTTCTGAAGCCACAACACTCTTCGGGGAATTTGTATTGCTGTTGGAAGCAGACGGTTCGTCGCCATCAAGAGCAGCAGAAAACCGAGCGAAACGTATAACTCATCAGCTCTTTCTAATTTGCCCACTAAGCTGTGTCACAAACGAGCCGTGAAGGAGCTGATTTCTGTTAGCGCTGCATGACCGAGTCACACGCCGCGCTGTAGATAACGTGCATTAGCGTCATTAGCCTAACAAATAGCCCAGCACATGACTCCTGACTGCTGCCGGCATCTGGTCCTGTGCCAGTCACTTCCCTCACATGCTCGTAAAGGAAAAAAGCTCCACCTGCCATCCCTCAAAGCTCCTCCAGAGGTTTTCGGGGGGCTGTCGCTGCTCATCAGAGTGAGTGCAGCTTTGGCCAACGTCCAGAGAGGAGACTGTTGCCTCTTTTTAAAGTGTGTGCAAACAGAAACCCAGCCTAGTTAATATGCTAATGCTTTTATCACCCGTTACTCCATCCTCTCTCCAGTGTCTCCTCATCTCTCGTGTTTTTAATTTAGCAAGTGTGTACGTCTCAAATACAGAGCTCTGTGATCTTTATCTTCGTGTTCCTCCTCCACCTCATATTTACTGAAGCGGTCCTGAGAGACGCTTCAAGTCTTTCACATCATGGAGCTTTACTTTCTCACCCACTACTAGAGATGTGGAGCCAGAAGTCACAGCAGGAAAAACACTTTCAAGGATGAAGCGTCATAGTGTCGCGTTCTCGGTCTGTTGAAAATGATTTGGTTATGTCGAGCTGTTTTACATTTGATCACTTACTGTGCAAACTCTAAAAACTTCAGCCGACTAGTTCAGTGGCTCCAGCTGTTTTAATGATGGACGACGGTTTGATGTTTTTATTAATCGTTTTACTTTCTTTTAAAACATTCTCAAGACCTTATAATATACAACAATCATATACTATATAATTACTGGTAGAATTTCTCTGCTATGCCATATAATGATATAAAATAGTTTTCTCATCCCATCGCAAATGTGGACACTCAAGCATTGTTGAAGTAATGTGTTCATTGTGAATTGATCTGCTGCATGCAGCCAGCGGCGACGTGCTGATCACATCTAATCATACCTCTTATGTTCTTTTGTCCTCAGGTACCTAAAGTAACACACACGGAGTTCTGCCAGGGACGGACGATGCGCTGGGCGCTGGCTTGGAGTTTCTATGATGACGTGATTGTTCCGGTAAGTCTGAGCTCATTTTATTTCTCCTTATTGCCCAATTAACCCTCGACAGATTGTCTTGTGGTGATTGTAGCTGGATATTGAAATGCAGTACCAATATGCATCGATGATACCAAGGAATAGACTTCATTTGGTTCCATATTTCGATACACCCCAAAGCCGCCTCCTCAATTATGTACCACCTCCAACCTCTCACCCCTCTCCACACTGATCCTCTTTGCCCTCAGCCTCGTTCCATTAGAAGCACTTAACTCCTCCTCCTCTGGGAATATGTTTATGTGCTTTTTTTAACATGCTGTATCCAGGCAACAGTTGCCAGGGCAGGAGTGTGTGCATACACACACCGTACCGTTGTCCTCGTCTGGCCAGTGAAGAAGCCACAACAGCTAAAGGCTCATAGTAATGTCGGAGTGGTGACAGGTTAGAGATGATTGGAAGGTGGAGGCGGTCAGCAGCGGCTGTGTGACGACAACTGTGTGTGTTTTGTTGGACTCGTCTCTGTTTTGGCCTTTTCAGCATAAAAGCAGTTGTGCAGAATGATTGGCCTACTTTTTCTCCTGAAACCCTCCTCCTCCTTCTCCTCCTCTTCCTCCACTTCAACGCATATCCACCATCCTTCTTTACACTGGAGAGCTGCTCACCATCACTACAGCCCAGACTCTGTGTGTGTGTGTGTGTGTGTGTGTGTGTGTGTGTGTGTGTGTGTG